CAAGCGGTAAAAACTTTATCGTTTTACACCCTTACGTTAGAGAAGCGGCGATATATCCGATTTCATGCGTACTGATTCAACATATAACACGTACCATTTCCGCGTGATTCCAGAAAGAAAAGGGAGAAAGAAACCATCCAAAAAACCAATATTAAACCGCTGAGGCGTTTATGTACAGTAAATATTGATAAAGTACCCCTCTCCCCTCCCCCTTCCTCGATAGATGAAACTTTCACATCTTCTCTCCTGCCTATTCCAATTCCTCTTCAAGATTTCCTCCTCCTTTTACCCTGGCCTGGTTGCAACCCGATCCGCGATCCAAACATTTCGTCGGCAGTTTTTCTTACAATGGCCTTTTCACTGGTCGATTTCAAACTTTCAGCTGCTAATTCATATTGAAAGGTACATTTTCCCCCCTTTGCACCCCTGATTTCATATATTCCTTCGTCACAAATTCACTCTCTTTTGGAAATTTCTGTTGACATCTACTATACATTCATCTCATTTTGCTCATCTGCAGCGCTTGTATGGTTTCTAGCTGTTAAAGTTCGACTCCATAAGTTCTCATAAAATTTAAGGCTTTAAAAATTATTTTATTAATATCTTGGAAAGTCACTAATTTCAAAGAGCTGGATTCCTCGATGTACCGTTCTCTCCTTGGGAACATTGCCAATCCAAAAAAAAGAATATTCCAAGAAAAAGTAATTGTTAATTGTGGGCAGTGTTCGGTTGTGTGTACATCAGAGAGATCAGACATTTGGCAAACGCAGTAATCGCAGAGGTCATAGTTCACAATTCTCCTCTAAGCCCCTTAAAAAGAGAAAAAAGTATCGCACATAAGTACTGGTTTTCCCAAAGTTCATGAAACCTCGAGAGAAAAGCTCCCGCTAGTTATCTTGGATATTGATAACCATGTGAAATATTTCGGCAATTAACACGCTGTTTGTTTGATAAAATATATCTTGCCATTTTGCTTCGCAGTGAAGATTTAGAGCACCGGCAGTACTTGAGCAAATACGAATTTTGTGGCTCTTAACTGGATGAAAGTGCATACTTTTCATGGAAAGTTCTAGAAATGTAGGTTGAAGGGAGAAAGTCTTAATGTATGAAAACTATTTTTCTTCGCGGATCAAATTATGTTATCTCGAGGCACCGCGGACTAGAATCTGGGCTCTCTTTTTGGCAATTCTGATATTTCCGCGAGATTTAATAGGACGTATTTCTGCCAAACGGAACTATGTGCATTATGACGTGAGCCCTGTTATGCGTATACTCTTATGGGTCTCGGGGATCATGTCTTAATGCGTATAGTTCCGTTTGACAGAAATACGTCCATTAATGATTCATGAATCGTTCAGCCATCAATCTTATCTTTTTAACATTACAATGTTAATGCTTACGACCTTAATCGAATGTGTGATTGACGTATCAGTCGGAAGCCTTAACGCTCTTAAATGTGAAATGTTTGTTTTTGAAACTTATGGTCAAGGTGCCTACGGATAATATGTAGATTTTCGAATTTCATTAAACGAGAGACATACAGTTTAAAACTCTCATCTTTGTCATTTGGTGTACCTACTTCCCAAGTACCAGTGATCGCGATAAGTTGTAATTTGATCGGAGAATGTATCGCGAAAATCGACGACGATTTATGGTAATATTATCTGATAAAGATTGCGATAAATTGTGATTTCATCGCATATGTTTTCAATGAAATCTCGATTTTATTGATGGCAATTTATCGAAATATTGTCGAACAAAATATTTTGATAAATTGGGGTGAAATTTCGATTCTGTCAAACGCGATTAAATGAAGATAAAATTGCGACAAGATTGAGGTTAATTAAAATATGAGGATAACCTCCCCTCATCTAAAGTCGCTAGATTTGTATGAATTCTATAAGCTGTTATCAGGCCCGCCACAAGGGGGGGGGATACTGGGTCCTTGGTACCGGGGCCCGGGCCCTGGAGGGGCCCGTGACGCAGGTGACAAACCACAACGAATTCATGTGTAACCCTTGTCTCGTAGAGAAAAGTGAAAAAATTACCCTAAAAATTCCGCAAAAGGTGAATAAAGTTTCAAAAACACGCTAGGGCACTGTAAAATTTTTCTTACTTTTTTAGAGATTTTCAAGATTTTGAGTGTATGTAGAATGATATTTTTAGTAACTGTGTTTCATTTTCTTCCGTTGTCGGATGCTAAGAGGCTCCTTTCTGGGCATCCTCGACTTCAATGGATTAACTCCCTTGCCATAGACGTACGAAAGGGGAGTCCAGGGGGGCCCGGCTCCCCATAGAATTGAAAATTATCATCTGCCCCCTCAAAAAAAAATTAATAGATGTTTTGAATGCAACAATTCGGAAGTTTTTGGTGCTGAAAGTAAACAAAAAGGCGTAATTATTCTGCAGAAATTGATGGAAAATCTCCATCATAAGAGCTTCCTAATGCGTCCAAATAGATTTAAAATTTCAAAAATTTCCCGGGGGAGGCCCCCCGGACCCCCCCCCCCCCTGTGCTAGGGGCCCGGGTCAGAAAATTGGTACCAGGGCCCGAGATGGGATGTGGCGGGCCTGGCTGTTATGACACCTAGTGTTCGTACTCTCCATACAAATGCACCCTAAACCTTAGAAATGAATCTGCACAAAATATGGAAAAGCACCATTTTGTCCCCATGACCAATATCGCTGTTGCCTGAAAAGTAGCCAATGAGCTTGACTTTTGTCAGAAATGAAGCATTGAAGCATTCGTTTATAGGCGTCAACTGAAATATCGGCCAATTAGAGGCTTCAGACACACGAAATGGATTCGTGGCTCCCCCTCATCTTTAAGTACGTCCATTTTTATCATCAAAATTTGAAATGCGAAAAGGTTATTACCGGAACCATCATACTTGTACACATTTACTTGATTTGAATAATGACGGGACCGGCAACAAGGAATTCATTCCATATTCATGACAGAGTGCGTTATACGATGCGTCCAGAAGTATTCAAATGGTCTCTGGACTCTAATCTCGTCAAAAAAAGGAGTGACATCTTTTCCCAAAAGAATTTTCTCCTAAACAGGTAATGCACAATCGCAAAAACTATTAATGAGAGTTTCAGGTACACGATTTTTTCCTCCACAACCGTCACGGGACAGCAAAGAGGCCGTCCATGAAATACGTTACTCAAGTAGGGCGAGGGTCTAGCGGTGAATGACGGGGGTGTCGGGGAGGGAGGGAGGGTCAAGCCAAGGATGACGTAAGCTTTTCTGAAGGCATTAAAAAGGCTGAAAATGCTTGCTTGAAATTTGACTATACCTGCTGATTTATATCGATTTTCTGCGTTTTCCCCCGAATGGGAAGGGCTGCGCTAATGAATTATTATTTTTTTTTTTTTTTTGGGGTCTAGCAGTAGATGACGGTTTTTTTTTTTGGGGGGGGGGGGGGGGAGCCTAGCAAAGAATGACGGTTGGATAGGGTGAGGGAAGGTGACAAAAAGTCAAATCCAGGCAAGTCTCTGTAGGTAATTATTAAACCTGAAGATTCGATGTTCGAACTTTTTTTCTTTCGCTACCTTTAGTGCCGAACATGAAATCAACCACCGAGCCCTACCTCAGCGTCCTCAGCGACACATTCGGTTACATGATGGTTGTTGATTTATCACAAGGGGTGCTTAAGGTTCTTCGTATACGGTGTGACTTAACCAAGAAGATGGCGGAAGGATTAAGAAATCCCCCTAAATTTTCATTTTTTAGTCACAGTTTGATCTACCGTTCTATTGGGCCAATTTTCATGATTTTTACGGCTATTGACAGAGATAATCGCTCGATAGGCCTGCTTTATTCATGCAGATTTTGGAAATAAAGACGCGGTGTTTTCATAGTATGTACGTGATACGTGATAAAGTTATGACCGGTGGCGTAGCGTGCTTTGCGATAAATCGATTGATCCACCATTTAAACCTATGGAAAAGGACCGATAAACAGGGTTTTCGTAATGAACACCTTAATGGTCGATTCTTTACCACAGCTTCAAAAGGGGAAAAATCAACGATCGATCATTCACGTCTCGCCCCCTTGGTTATGACTTCTCCCATTTAAACAATGTGAAAGTTTATTTTTGCCCGAGTAAGTTTTAAGATCCACTGGACCGATTTTCACGATTTTTGTCCCTAAACGAACCCGCTCTATTTAAGTTTACTCACAGGAGCCCTTCAGACGAGCCTCAGAGGGCACGAAGCATCTCCCGGGGGTCTGGCCGCGTAGCGGCCAGGAGGTGTACCCCTAGTATCAATACATCCGAACCGATTGATCAGCAATAACGGGGAAAAAACAAATTACGAGTGTCTGGATGAAAGGTGAGCCGCAGCCTTAGGCCTCACAATCAGCCAAAGTCCCAAGTGCACGTATTCGCGCAGTTGGCCCCGTCTGTATCATATTTTTAGCATGTACTCTACTCTGTATCAAACTTTATTGAGTTGCTTAGTCTGATAGAGCCAACGACAAGGGCCATGTAATCCGATGAAATTTTAAAATACCTATTTCATAAAAATTTCACGAATAACCCAAATACGTTTAATGATCTATGCTAACTATCTCACGAATCTACTTTCATCGAAGCATTCCCAGGGCATGTAAAAAAATTACCATTAAGATATTTTTTTGAATATAACTCAAATATCATACAGAAATATCTATAATAGTTATAATTACGATAATGCATGCATTACATTTCGCGAAAAAGTTGCGAGCATCTCAGAAAAGGGTTCAACTTATGACAATTTAAGGAACTACAAGCAGCCATGCAAGAATAGTTGGAAAGACATCATACGTCATAGAAGGAAGAGATACATGCTTAGAGGCTTTTTAGAAATCGTGAATTATCGCGAATGATCATTTTATAAAGAATAAAAAAGAGGACAAATAAGTAGCTGAACATCCTCAAAATTAGGAAAACACAGGATATCAGTGGTAAATATTTGAATTAGACAAATAATTTAGAAAGAAGATAACTTACGAAAAGCGAAGCAGATGAAAAAATGTCAATAGAACCAAACACCGGAATAGCGAAGAGAAGGAGAACAGAACAGAGTCGAATGGACAGAAGAACTTTTAGAACGTAAAAGGAACAAACGAGTACTACGAAATTCACCGAGACAGGTGTCAAGTCAATTTTCTTAGGCAGGCATTCGGTGCGACACGAACGCATTAAATTACAGGAAGATCGGAAAAATCTGAACCGGTAGCTCATGAGAACAATTCGAAGCGGCCGAACAAATTTAGCGAGAACACCCAAACGGAACCATTTCCGGAGCTTGTCGAACGTAACAGCTAGGTACGATCCAACGGTAAAAGCGCAACCGGACACAACGGAAGAGTCGCCACGACTCGAGTCGCAGAAGACAAGATGAACTGAACAGAGCTGGAACTGCGAGAACTTGTGCCAAACGCCTCGAGCTAACTCGGAGGAGAACAGAGCGAAACAGCACCGGTCGAAGAAGATCGCGACAGTTTCAGACTGAAGGAGCGTACGCGTCAAAGGAAGCGGCGACTGAAGACTGAAAACTGAAGACTGAAGACTGAAGACACAAGACTGAAGAGAGATAGAGAGAGATGGAGAGAGGGAGCGATAGTGGTAGAGTAGAGTGCAAAAGTGCGGACTGATGGGTGACTTACCGAGATGAAAGAAAGTGGCGGACGGTGCGATCGGATATGGGGGCGAGTGGAAACGCACTGAGGGCTTTATCAGCGTGGAGCCGAGCGATTTCGAGACGAGACGCGCTGGAGTCGGCTCAGTTCGGGCGGCTGCGGCTGCGGCGTCGCGTGGCGTCGGGTCGCGTCGTGGCGCTAGCGGAGCGACAAACCAGCCCAAGACCGACGACCACCAGGGACTGAGCCTCAACGCGGCCGGCCACCGAGTTATCACTCTTAAATCCTCCACTATTTAACATGTCAATCGCTCCCCGATCCAATCAATTACCGCCTGTCATCCGACCGGCCGTCGCCCGTCGCCTAGCGCCACACTTGACCGCATCCCGGCGACGGCGACGCGACCGCAGGTGAGGCGCCACTCCCGCGCCCGGACGCACGCAACGCCGACGCCGCGCGAGACGTACGCAGACGCCGACGCGCCGGGAGACGCTAGGCGTCGCGACGCTGCGCGGCCTCCCTGCTGCTGTGCTAAGGAAAAGCGCCGTATGAGCATTTGAGAGTTGCCAAATTTTCCTGGATAAAATATGTATTTTTGACAACATTTATGCATATTTTTCCTTGAAATTTTCCGATGTTTTAGATTAAATTGCGTACAAAATTATCTGAAATTTTCGGAAAATAACATTCACAATTTTCTCAGTAATTTCGGTTTTTATCGGAGGAAACTTGGCAACGCCTGATGGCTCATACGGCGTTTTTCCTTAACACGGCAGCATGGGTCCACGGTCCCATACCTCCTCGGCCACTGCCATTGCCAACTACTCTGCCGTGCTAAGGAAGAACGCCAAAAGAAAATTCAAGAGTTGCCAAATTTCTCTCGATAAAACACGTATTTTTAAGGAAAGTTATGTTTATTTTTCCTCAATATTTTCAGATATTTTCGATTAAATTGCCGGAAAATGTTTCTGAAAAATTTAAAGAAAAATGTTGACAATTTTCCTGATAAATTCAATATTTATTGAAGGAGATATGGCAACCTCTGATGGCTCATACGGCTTTCTTCCTTGACGTGGCAGTAACTCTCCTCCACTCCTTCATCACATGTCCAGGGCGGATTAAGGGGGTGGCCACATGGGCCGCGGCCCATGGCGGCAAGTCTAGAGGTCGGCAAATTTTGCAATTTTTTTAAATGTCGGAATAAAAAAATATCGGATTTAGAAAAACAAAATTACAAACGAGGAATGGCGACACAATCTCTCATTTCCTGAGAGTATAGTAATTTCTAATTTTGTCGTCTCTTAGTAATACAAGAGACAGCACCTTCAATAAGTCGAGTTAAGAGAGAGACCAAACACGCAAGTTGGCCTGGAGTGGCGCGCCTTAGAGAGAAATGATAACGAGGACATGAGACGAAAAGGAGAAGCCCTCGGCGCGGCGATCGGCATGTAACACACATTAGCGCCTCAAAGACTGCACGAATACTTCACGCATTGCATCAAAAACAGTGCGGTCATTGCGGTCAGCGTGAAACGGATAGCGCCTACAAGACTGCGTGAATACCTCACGCGTTGCGTCCAACACAGTGCGTTCAGCAGCGGCCGGCGTGAACCGCATAGCGCCTACTAGACTGTCGAAATACTTCACGCATTGCGCCAAACACGGTGCTGTCTGCGCGGCGCGGCGGCGGAAGTTAAAATCATTGATCCACATTTATGTTTGTTCTTTCCTAATTTTTTCGTTCAATTATTATGAATGGAAGGCCTTGTCCACACAGAGATAGGTTTACGGAACTTAACTTTCGCGCAAAGCTCCGTGAACTTTTGCCAGTAGTGTTGACAGGGCTTTCCCACAAAATGTGTTCAACACGAGTAAATGCGTCTTATACACCCCTACCCCGCTGACATGTTCATCTGATGGTTTTTATCGAGTTTCAAAACGAATGAGAAGGGGGCGGCAAAATACAGGCGGCCCATGGGCGGCAAGTAGGTGAATCCGGCCATGCACATGTCCATCGTCCACACCACCGTGCTGAAGAAGAACGCCGTATGAGCACTTAATATTGCCAAATTACCTCTCAAGCAGTGCTAATTCGTAAGGAAAGTCATGAATATCTTCACTTTAAATTTTCAGACACATTACATCAGATCAACAACAAAATTCTCTGAATAAGTAGGGTAAAAGTGTGCATCAATTTGGCCGACAATTCTTGATTTCTTGGAGGAAATTCGGCAACGCCTAAAGGCAACGTTCATAGAACGTTCTTTCGTAGCATGCAAGCACATTACATACCCGAGTCCATCGGCCGAACGCCCAACCACACCACCGTTTCGTACGTCGTTCCTACTCAGGACTCATCGGCTTGACACGTTCCTTTGCAGTCCATCTACCATACGTAACTGGCCACGGCGCCAGAAAATTAAATGCAGTGCGATCCTTGATGCGTGGCTGTCTGCAAGGCAGTATGTCCCCTCGGAAAACCTTCCACAGCCACACCTGATGCACCTAAAATCATTGATGCTTAGCTCTTGGATCTGAGGTCTCCGGTTAGGGCCAGGCAGGTGGAAAAAGGCCTGAATGACGTGCAATTTTGAGGGACCCCACATCGCAGGGTCAGAAGGGTGGTTACAGGGGTGAGAGGGGAATATCTTTTGGGTAAAGAGAGTCCGCAGGTCTTCCTGACACGTTTTTTTCTTTTAAATTTTCGATCGTAAAACGTATTTTTTGTGGAAAAAAAAGAAGAAGAAAAGGGGATAAAAACAGGGCGTACAGCAAACCGGAAAACTGGGAATTAGGGAATTTATGGCAGCAGCTTTACCGCTGATATGCTGAATATAACTACGTACACATAGATTAAATCAAAATGAACAACGCACGTAGTATTTGCGTGTTTTATAGTTCCTTTTGATTTAATACCCTCGCACATAGTTTTTTAGTATGGTAATACGCCTATTCACATAACCGTTCAAACGAAGGCAAATTATGTTTTGTTACTTACAATATAAGACTATGCTCCTGGCACTTTTGTTCACCTTAACTTCATCAAATTTTAGACTTTGTCATATTTAAGCTTGTCAACAAGAAAAGAGGCAGGAGACTCCGTGGCAAGTGTAAGATGCTTTCATAATTTTTTCTTGTTAGACATCTATGCCTTTCTGTCTCAATAATTTGCAGAATTAATATTTTTCTCCCTCCTCGATGATAATGCCAAGTAAGCTTTCTAAATGTCAAATTATCGCGTAGAAAACCAGTTCGCCTTCATTTATGGGTATATGCAACATGGACAGTCATCGTGGACGAATAGTTGCATTCAGGTGTTATTAGGAGCGCGACGCATCCTCTCCGAAGTTTCTCACGGTGAGCGTGGGGAAAAACCGGACTGCATTTTGCAATATGGAGCAACAATTTTTGGCTCAGATTAGAAATTACGTATGTGCTATTAGTTTCTCTAAGTAGATAGGTACTTTTACGGATGGGTCAGAAATGTTAGTTCCTCGTTGCTAAATGACGTCCAACTGTGCTATACTGAGTTGTTTTATCTACTGTGATTTCTTTGTTTAATGCAGAGACATGATGATGTGTCACCTTGGCTGATCTACATGACTATAACTTGTGCCCTGTGTCTATTGATTGGTGCGTATTGCTTCCTGTTTCCTTTTTAAGAGCAAGCTGTACGTGAGTTCCAACTATATTCTCCATATCAATGACTTTTTGCTCGTTACACGAATTACAATAACGGATCAAGAGGAAATTTGCGGAGTGGAGGAATTACATTTTTCAGTTGGGTTAATTATGTTAGATCCAGATCGAAGAATCTGAATTTAAGTTACTGGACAGAATACACTTCCTAATTCCAAAAATAAGTTTTGAGCGGTTGAGTTACGTTTCATGCTCGAGAAGTACGATACGTAAAGTAGCACGACGACTTGACAGTTTCATGACCTGAACATACTAACTTAAAACTGCAAGAGGGTCAGTCTAAAAATTACACTTTTTTCATCGTTACCTCTAAATTGTCACTATTTTAATCTGATTAAACATTACCGGACGTCTCTCGTCCTAAAATTTATGCAAAAGACTCATGCACCGCTATTTTGACTTTGAGTTATTCCGTTTTACGATCCCGCGATAATAATCGAACGGTCACAAGATAGCGTGTGAGAGTCGCAATGTGCTGGAACGCAGAAGAAGTCACTTTTTGATGCAGTTTTGTTTAGTGCTACTGAGCCTTGTGTGCGGCGACTGGCGCGCCTGGCGACCATTTGCGCGTAGTCTCAGCTCCAGGCTTCGCTCAGAAAATACAAGCATGACATTTATTTCATAAAAATCGGGAGTTTCGTACATTTTATGATTCTTTATGACTTGAGTTTAAATAATTTGCCAAAATTCACGAAAATAATTAGCGATTTAAGTTAATAATTCCCGAAAACCACTCGCACCCCGCGATTCTCCCATGAGCCGCCGCCTTGTTAAAGTAAGCCGTTTTGGTCCCCTGGTAAAAATTGGCGTTAGGAGCTGCGTTTCAAAATACCATAGGAGTTCTTATAGCTGACTGAAGAAGGCGATAGAAAATCATATAGCTGGCTGTAGAAAGTGGAAAAAATCACACGGCCAGGCTACACGATGCGGTAAAAAATTATACAGCCGGGCTATAGCTCATATCACCGGGCTTTACACTTTATCACCTGACTGTTGCTTTTTCCCCATCGGCTATAAAAGGCTGTAAGAAATTGTGTAGAAATTCGTGTGCTTTGTAAATCCTTAAGTTTGTACGGAATCACCTTAATATTTACAAAATGCGTATTATATTTTTCTTTACTACATATTTTTTTTTCATCAATTACAATGAGAATAATCCATACAGAGAGTGCAAACATTTCAAAGTCATGTGTTGAAAAACGCTGACTCCACGAGATTAAATATTAGAGCCTAACACAAAGCGGAGCGGCGACGCACTGGCGCCTACAAACCTAACACACAAACCTAACCTACAAGAAGGGACTTGCATCGTCACAATCG